CTACTCCTACTCCGACTCCGACTCCGACTCCGACTCCGACTCCGACTCCGACTCCGACTACGACTACGACTCCGACTACTACTACTACTACGACTACGACTACGACTACGACTACGACTACGACTACGACTACGACTACGACTACGACTACGACTACGACTACGACTACGACTACGACTACGACTACGACTACGACTACTACTACTACTACTACTACTACTACTACTACTACTACTACTACTACTACTACTACTACTACTACTACTACTACTACCTTCCTCCTCCTCCTCCTCTTCCTCCTCCTCCTCCTTCTCCTCCTCCTCCCAGCTGCATAGGGCAAGGCGACAAAATCTATACAGATCCACTGTTCCCTGGCCGTGCCAATCCTAAACCCAGCAGCGGTGCATATGCCACGCCCTCCTGGCCTCGCCAGGGGGGCGTATACACAGTTCCTGGGCCCAAGAAGGGCCAGGCCTTGGGGCTGTGGATACGTGTAGATATCGTCGCCCGACAGGGTGTGCGTGGCTACAGGATCGGCGCAGGTGGATACGAAGAAGTTAGGAAAGGAGGAAATCAGACCTGTTGGAAAGACTGGCGCGGAACCGAGAGGAGCCAGAAACGGTCTTGGGACGAGGTCTCCAGGGCTGGGGATGCTGGAGGCAATCTGACCAAGGCACGAGAGAGAATGGAGAGACTGGCCTCGGCCACTGTTACCAGCCTCCTTGCAGCTGGATTCCCGGCATCCCTGGCCCTTGGCGCACCCACAGTGAACCAGGGTCTCCGAACTGGCTGCACAGAGTGAAACCTGAACAGGCTGGACTCTACCGCGCTTACTCTCAGAGACCCCGATGTCGCTGGACTCTCGTCTCCGTCGGCCTCCTCGTCCTCGCGGTCTTCGTCCTCCTTGTCCTCATCCTCGCCCTCGTCCTCGTCCTCGTCCTCCTCGTCGTCGTCGTCCTCGTCGTCGTCCTCGTCCTCGCCCCGCCCTCCGTGGCCCCATCCTCCTCGCCGGGCGGCAGGCGCACTCCCGAGCCCCTTGCCCGCGCCGCCCTCCGTAGCCGAGCTCCATCGTGAACTCGCAGGAGACGCTGACGTTGAATCGCAGGGGCGGCACGAGGGGCAGGGTCAGCGAAACCTGGCGGGCGCAGCACAAGATGAAGAACAACAACAAAAAGCGCCACGAACATAAGCTTTCTCCTCCTCCTCCTCCCTCCTCCTCCTCCTCCTCCTCCTCCTCCTCCTCCTCCTCCTCGCGCGGAGTTCTTGGATCTGCGCCGGACCCCCCTCCCTGGCGCGGAGCGCGCCAGGGGCGGCGCCGGAGGGGCCGCCAGGGGGGCCCAGCGCGGATCCAAGAGATCTGCAAGGAGCGCCAAAACTTTGTTTATGGCAGCGACCGAGGTGCTCGCGATCCCGGGTGCGCTCCCTCCGCCTCCCCCTCCCCGCCCCGACGCTGAGGGAGCTGCTGAGCTGACATCACATCACCCGGCACGCGCACGTGCTGGGAGCGAGCCCCTCCGCTGTGGGCCGCCGCCTGCTGTGAGCGGTGCACGGGGGGCCCTACGAACCTGCCACTGGGATCCGACGCCCGTCTCTGTAGTTGCTCACCGAGCTTCCCTCCGACCTGAGGGGTGACGTTAGTCGGGGGCGCGCAAACATGGATTAGCGATACATGGATTTGGCGCGCGGTCGTCAAATCCATGGATCGAGGGAGGTGCCCTCCCCAAAATGCGGCCAGTGCCGCTTCGCCCGGCAGCGGAAATCCTCGATTTCCCCAGGAAACGGGACCCGTCGCTAACCCACGCCCCCCTGGTCCATGTTGGCGATCGCCTGAATTGGAGGGAGAGGACTGGCTCAGGTGGGAAATCCTCGACCTGGAGTCGGAGACACACTGCTGACAGGTCGGCGACAGGCCCCCGATAGCGCGTCCGCACGCTCCTGGGCGGGGCGGGCCGCCTGGCCCGCATCGGCGATGAGGAGTGGGCGATTGGGGGCCCATGCGTTCCTCCTCCTCCTCCTCCTCCTCCTCCTCCTCCTCCTCCTCCTCCTCTCACGTCCCACCCCATCGGCCATCAGCATCAGCACCACCACCAGCATCAGCAGCATCGTCATCAACAGCATCATGATTATCATCAACAGCAGCAGCAGCATCAGCATCATCATCAGCATCGTCAGCATTACCAACACCATCAGCAGCATCATCATCCTCATCATCATGATGATCAGCATGATCATCATCATCAGCAACGTCATTACCAAACTCCTCATCATCAACATCATCAACATCATCAACATCATGATAATCAGCATCAGCATCGGCACCGGCATCAGCATCAGCATCATCATCAGCATCATCACCATCAGCGTCAGCATCAGCATCAACATCATCATCATCCCTTCCCAAAGCTGCTCCTCCTGACTCTCCTCAGCCCGATCTCCACCTCATCCGTCTCTTCCTCCTCCTCCTCCTCCTCCTCCTCCTCCTCCTCCTCCCATTCATCTGGTCCTTCCCGCTTCCTCCCTCCTGATCATCATCGCCAGCATCATGATCATGATCATGATCATCATCATCATCAGCAGCAACATTATCATCAACGTCGTCTTTGTCATCATCATCAGCATCATCATCATCAGCATCATCATCACCATCATCATCATCAGCATCGTCATGGTCATCATCATCATAAACATCCTCATCATCAGCAGCATCATCATCGTCGTCATCATCAGCAACAGTATCATCAGAATCAACATCAGCAACATCATCATCAGCAGCATCATCAGCATCAACATTAGTACCACCATCATCATCATCATCATCATCATCATCATCATCACCATCATCACCATCATCACCATCATCATCACCACCACCATCATCATCACCAGCATCATCAATATCATTAGCAGCATCAGCATTGCCATCAACTGAAGCATCAGCATCAGCGTCATAGTCATCCACATCATCCCTCTTCCATTCCCATTCTCCGCTAACTCCTTCCTCCTCCTCCTCCTCCTTCTCCTCCTCCTCCTTCTGCTCCTCCTCCTCCTCCTCCTCCTTATCCTCCTCCTCCTCCTCCTCATCATAATCATCCTCCTCCATTCTCCTAACTCCTCCTCCTCCACCCCCTCCCGCACGTCCCTCCTCACCTTCCTCCGCCTGCCCTTTCTCCTCCTCATATTACAGCAGCAAAATATTTAGCACCCGCATCAGTATCAGTATCAGTATCAGTATCATCATCATCAGCATCATCAGCATCATCATCATCAGCAGCAGCATCATCGTCGTTGTCATCATCAGCCCCTTGTTCTTTCTCTTCTACAACATCATCAGTATCATCTCATCAACATCATCATCAGCACCATCATCATCAGCATCAGCATCATCAATATCATTGCCATCATCATCAGCAGCATCATGGTCATCATCATGGTCATCATCATCATCATCATCATCAGCAGCATCGTCATCGCCGTAGGCATCATCATACTCATCATAATCATCATCAGCAGCAGCAGCGTCACGGGCATCCTCAGCATCACCACGATTGTCAGCATCATCATCAACATCACCAGCATCATCACCATCACCATCGTCATTAGCATAATATGTATCATCACCATCAGCATAATCATCGTCATCAGCATCATCGTCATCATCATGTTCACTTCTCTCCTCCCTCCCTCAATTACTGTTCCTTATGACACATCCTCCCTGTGGAACCCCGAGACCAGTCGGAAAGGCGGGCCGAGCGTTCCGCCGGAGCCTTCCTCATTATACGTGGTCCTGAAGCTTGAAAATTGGCAACAGCTTCACGGATGGAGGGCGGGCGTTTTTTAATGCGTTCTCGCCTTGGCCCCACGCAAATTCGTAAAACCTCGCGAGGGTGTCACAGATTGAGTGCGGATGGTTTTCCAAATGTGGCTTTCGCCTCAGCGCCGCGCACACTGGCCTTTGACACTTTGCAAGAGCTTTACGGATTGAGGGCGGGCCGTTTCCAAAATGTAGCTCTGGCCCTCACAAGTTGCAAGAGTTTCACGGACCGAAGGCGGCTCCTTTTCATACACGGATTTAATGTACCAAACATGGTGTTGTGCAACGATTCAGGATTGGCAGTGCGCAACACTTACGTTGACTCGCGGTGCTGGAGTCCCAGGGATGGCAGGCTGGCACGAATAGTAATCGCCAAGGCGCAACAGTCAAGCTGCTTCGAGGCGTTGAGGTTCAGGATCTTCCAAAGGCTGTCTCCCCCCGGGGGTGCACTCCCCTGAATGGACATGAACTTTTTTGTTGAGGCATATGAAGAGGGAGCTTGGAGGGAGGCATAATCTCAACTTCGTTGATGAGTCTTGGGTTTGCACTGGTCCTCTTCCTCCTCCTCCTCCTCCTCCTCCTCCTCCCCATCCTCCTCCTCATTCTTCCAATTCTTACCTCCTCCTCTACCTCCTCCTCCTCATTTTCCTCCTCCTCCTCCTCATCCCCCCTCGCCCACGTCCCTCCCTGCTCCTCCACCTCCTCCTCCTCCTCCTCCTCCTCCTCCTCCTTGGTCGGTCGGTCGGCCAGAAGGCGGAACGTCGAAGCCTGATCAACGGAAAAGAGGCATGCAAGAGAAGAAAGGGCGCCAGCAACATAGTGGCCCTAACCACGATCTCCTGCCTGCGCCCGTGGGCGCCGATGGTCACTGCCATGGCGTCAACCATGAACCAATCAACGGGTACTGCCTTCGGCGCGAGAAGCGCTGGCCTGTGGGAATTGGAAAACAGCTTGGCGGGGGAAAAAGAAGAGTCCTTCCCCCTCTGCGCATGCAGGGCAAAATATCGGGAACTGCCGTTCGAAGTGGGAGAACACTCAGAACCCTTGGGCCGCATTCCGTCCCCGACAACGCAAACATCCGCCTGGGAGCATCCAGAGTGGTTGGTCAGAGAGGGTGAGGGGGTAAAGGAGGAGAAATGAGGTGTTCCTCCTCTTCCTCCTCCTCCTCCTTTTCCTCCGCCTCCGCCTCCTCCTCCTCCTCCTCCGACCCTCCATCCTCCTCCTCCTCGTCCTCTTCCTCCTCCTGCTCCTCCTCCTCCTCCTTCTCCTCATCGACTCCTTTTCCTTCTAACCAACTGGTCCCGGTCGCACCCCGGTGCCAGTTTTTAGGGCGGTCCAGGCGTTTCGCCTGAGATTCCCTCACCACTTTTGACTCTGAAGCTGGAAAAGTGACGAAAACTTCACAGATGGAGGACGGGTGGTTTTCAAAATGTGGTTTTCGGGTTAGCGCCGCGCACATTCGTTTTAGAAAAGTTCCACGAGCTTCACGGATTGAGGGCGGGTGGTTTTCCCAATGTGGCTCTCGCTGTAGCGCCGTGCATTTGTTTTTTTTAAGCTTCACGGATTGAGGGCGCTATTTTTCCAAATGTGGTTCTCGCTGTAACGCCGCGCACATTCGCTTTAAACGTTTGCAAGAGCTTCACATATTGAAGGCGGGTGGTTTTCCAAATGTGGCTCTCGCTGCAGCGCCTCGCACACGCGCTTAAAAATTGCAAGAGCTTCACTCGGGTCGGGCGAAAGGGGGGGATAGCAAAGGGGGGGTTTGAGAATCAGCTCGCGTAGCTGATTTTCCCGGCGCCTCCCGGCGCCGGAGGCGGCTATGTATCGAGGAATGGGCCCCTCGGTGAGGCCGAAACCAGCTGCATGCAGCAAATTTCGTAACCCCCCCTTTCCCAATCCCCCCCTTTCGCCCGGCCCGATTCACGGATCGAGGGCGGGTGCTTTTCAGGATGTGGCTCTCGGGTATGCGCCGCGCACATTCGTTCTAAAAGCTTCCGACAATTTCGCGGAATGAAGGCGCGTGGTTTTCCCAATGTGGCTCTCGCTGTAGCGCCGCGCACCGTTTCCGGACAGATCCGGTGGATCCGCTGGATCCGCTGGATCCGGTGACGAATCCCAAACCGGCGCCCTCGCTTGAGACATCCTCACAAAACCGGCCCCGGGGGAGGTGCCCAGAGGAGCCCAGAGCGGCCTCCGGCACCGTTTCCGGACCGGAGGATCCGCTGGATCCGCTGGATCCGGTGACGAATCCCAAACCGGCGCCTCGCTGAGACATCCTCACAAAACCGGCTCCCAGAGTGCCCGAGCCCAGAGCGGCCTCCGGC